CGAAAAATTTAATAGAATTTGATTTTTCTATAAGGCTGATTCTATTGAGATATTTTCTATAGAATTTCCTCAGCTCAAATTTTCGAACTTTTTTGTTTAATTTTCTTGATGAAAAGAAAAGAAAAATAGAATGAAAAAAAATTGAGAAAATTTTAGCCGAGGAAATTCTATGGAAAATATCTCAATAGAATAAGTTGTACAGAAAAAGCGAATTCTATTAACTTTTTCTGTAGAATGTTTTCTATTGAACAGTTCAATAGAATCGCCCAAAAACTAATAGAAATTTCAATAGAAATACAATAGCATTCTCTAACGAATTCACTAGGTTTTTCTGCTAAATTTTTTCATACGTAGTATAATCAACATAATTTCAATTTGTTTCATTTTCTTGATGAAAAGAAAAGAAAAATTGACTGAAAGAAATTTGGAAATTTTGAGCCGAAAAAATTCTATGAGAATATCTCAATAGTTGTGTAGAAAAATCAAATTCTATTAACTATTTCTATAGAATATTTTCTATTGAACATTTCAATAAAATCGGCCAAAAACTAATAGAAATCCAATAGAAATAACTATCGAATTCGCTAGGTTTTTCTATTAAATATTTTCGTGCCTGATACGCTCCTATAAAAATGAATTCTCCTAGGCAAATTATTCCTTGGCAAAAGTAATTTTTTTCTCATGTCAGTGTGAGGAAAATCTGGAAGAGAACAATTGTCGGAGATGAGATGACGAGCCACCAAATCCGCTAGGTTTTTCTGTAAAATTTTTTCGTTAGTGATCAAAAATTGAAGGAAAAAAGGAAACGTCGAATTTTATTTCAGTCTTAGAAGTAGGAAGCATAATTGCATTATCGAGGAGGGGAATCAACGCCATCCTAACATTATCGCAATCCTCTAAATTCTAATTGCATCATTCCTTGAACACTCTCAAAGTACAAAATAAGAAGGAGCGAGAAAACTTCTAAAAAGAGGTTTAAAATATTCCTTCGCGATGACATCTCAAATGCTTCCTTGGGCGTTAACAATAACCACTGGATTATTTTCCATTCGCCATTGCTATTATTCAATCTCGGATCACATTATTCATTATACGCGCGATTTAAATAATTACGTTATTTTTTAATTGTAAAGCTAGTGCGCTATTTACAAATTCAGAACTGAGTGTCATTCATGGACGAATTTATTTATAAGAGAATTGATTGGACTGGAACGATAAAACTGATTCTTGAGGCTCAATTGAGAGAACATCATTTTATTTGAGTTCTGCTGCAGAACATAACATCATAGCATTATCTTTCAGTTAATTAGAAGGCTTAGTGAAATGTAAAGAGATAATTGGAGAAAAAATCAAGATTATTTTGTAGATCTTTGGGAAGAAGAGGTTTATAAGAAAATATCGACATGTATAAAAAAATACATGGAAAACCTAGCAATTTTGCTAGAAAATTGTAATTTTCTAGGTTTTTTCAAGGTTCTGTCCAATTCTATTTTATTCAATTTTTTTATACACGATGGTATTCTGTTGTTATTGTTTATTAATTTTCCCATAGAAATTGAATTAATTGAATTCCTAGTGGAAATCTGGTGCAATTCTATCCATTTTCAGCCGATATTTAATAGAAATTTCAAAGTCTTTGACTTATTGCATGAGGTTTTTCTCTATTGAAATTGTTGATTTTTTTTTTTCTTACAAAAATCCAAAAAATAATCTTGAGCACTTCGGTAATCCAATTAATTAGACGGCTTAGTGAAATATGAGGAGATAATTGAGGAAAAAGTCAAGATTATTTTGTAGATATCTTTGGAAGGAAGAGATTTATGAAAAAATATCGACGTGGATAAAAAAATGAATGGAAAACCTTGCAATTTTGCTAGAAAATTGTAATTTTCTAGGTTTTTTCAAGGTTCTGTTTATTTTCTTTTTATTCTATTTTTCCATACACGGTGATATTTTATTGTTATTGTTGTCTGGTCACTTTGCCATAGAAATTGAATTAATTGAATTCCTATTGAAAATCTGGTGAAATTCTATCCATTTTCAGCGGATATTTATTGGAAATTTTAAAGTCTCTGACTTATTCCCTGAGACTTTTCCCACTGAGAATCTTAATTTTTTTCTCTTACAAAAATCCAAGAAAAAATATTTCCTTCAAGAAAGTGTTTGTGTGCACTTCACTATAAACGACTCATAGTTAACTTAACCCTCGATCACCCGCTCAATGAGCGCGGCACCGCCCGTTTTCGTTTTTTATATTTTAGCGTATTTCTCAGTGCTTAAAAATTCTGAAAAAATTAGAGTTCCTAGTTCAATCTTTTTATTAAACGTTGGCGTTGTCCGTTTTTTCTCGGGAAATTTGTTTAGCTAAAAAATCTGCGGGTGGTTGTATCTTTGATACAGCCGTAATTTCACGTGGATACGTCTGTGGTCTTCCCTTTCCTTCACTGAACATCATAGTTTTTCATTGTATATATTTATATAGGTATATTAGAAGAATTCGGAATTTCGCACCGTCTCGTCATAATAAGACATTTTTTAAAAACAAACGTTCAACATATTTCATTCACAACGAAATCATCGCATACACACTACATCGCATAACACACTTGGGAATTTTAACACGGATCCACAAATTTTATCTATTTTGTACAATAATAACCAACTGTTCAGATTTTGCCGACCAGCGCTAAGAATCCCTTAAAATTGTAATTTATTTCTAAAAAAAACTGTAGAATTTTCTAGAAAAATCTGGAATTTGCTGGACAAATCTAGAATTTTATAGAGAATTCTAGAATGTTCTAGAAATCCGATAGATGGTATCACTATCGATAAGGAACCATAAGGACTTTTTCCCTAAATACCCCCCCCCCCCCC